ATTTATTGCTAGTGAGTTCCATTAACACACTATTGTCCTTTGTGATGGATTACTCTAGCTGTATAGCATTTTAAAGTGTATTTTTTAAATATATTAAAATAATATTTTTTAAAATGATATGAGAACATAAAAAATAAAAAATTTTAAATACCTTTTAAACTAAAAAATAATAGTTCGTGAATATAAAAAAAAAATTGTTTTATGACTTTCTTGTTACGAGGTTCACATAAAATCATTTCGGCAGCCCATCATATAGTACCATTTACTTGATTTGAGCTAGCAGATCCCACGTTACAAGATGCTTTACCCGGGGATGATGTGTTGGCCATCATAAAGATTATTTTTTAAAATAAATATTGATTTTCTCAGTACAATTTAGAGCCTGTTTCGAGCAAATATAATTGCTGACATGCAAAGTTTTGATGAAGATGTAAAAGGTCCATTTTTTTTTTTATAATTAATCCATGTTCGTGTTTTTCGACCGTCAAAAATTACTGTATACACATGAATTATACTTATAATTATAGTAATTAAACCCGTGCCATAACATAGTTACTAGTTGAATGAATTAATTAATTTGAGTTAATTAAAATGATATTATTTTATATTTTTAAATTTATTTTTAATATTAACATATTAAAATACTTTAAAAATATAAAAAAATAATTTTAAACCAGAAAACATTTTAAAATTTTTTAAAATACTATTTCTACCGCTAAAACAAACATCCACTAAGCCAAAAACATTTGGTTCAGCTTATCTACTATTTAAGGGTGAAAAAGATTTCTAGCACTAAGTAATCTACGCATCAATAATAAATTATAGTACCACTACACCAAAAAAGAAAAGAAAAGGAAGAACACAACTAATTGTCTTAAATTAGATATATAAACCAAAACGAAATTGCCCACGGAATTTGTATCTATGTTTTCCAAATTTTAATCATCTTCAATCTAAAAATAATAATAAAAAAAAATCATTTCACTTTGGATAAAGGTTTAGCCCTTGAAGCCCATGATGTCTTTTGTGGATCAATATGTTTCTAAGGAGAAACATGGGCCTCAGAAGCCTCATTGTTCTTAGAGGTTGGATGCTTGACCAAATAAGTCCACTAAAACCCATTAACAGATTCATTAGAGCCAACAAAGAATAAATAACTCTTCGAGGTCCACAAAAAGAAAGGTCAACAAATAGACAGTGAAATGGCTGGCAGAAGCAGCCGCCATCAATAAAATAATTCAAATCCGTAGTCGACTTACCTAGGGATTTTTCACAAACAGCGATAGCTCATCGTCCCATGCTAACCGGGAGACGCGAGTGCAATAGTTCTCTATGCGTGAAGGGATTTAGCGAGAAAATGGAGCAGTCAAGGAGAAATATTAGGGACAGTTAAATTAGGGATATCATTTTTTATATAATTAATTAATTGAAATATATATCATGATTTTGAAACCAATATTGTTGGTTTAAATTGCTCCTAAATTCCCATGTTTCATGATATAGACAAAGAAATAAAAAATAAAAAAAATCCATGATTAATTTTCCTCAGTGCACGAATAAAAGGCTTTCTTTTGTAACACACCTTTCTCTTTCTTTAGGGATTTATATATCAAAATTTAAGTGATATTGTAGAAACAATTTTTTTTATAAATAAGTTCTTTTATATAAACATATGCGGTAATTATTTTTCATAAATAAGATCCACAATTTACCGTCTATGAATTGACAAATTAGATATATGAAAATTTAACATGAAAAGTTTGCGTGTAGATCATCTTTCTTCTTAAATAAGCTATTGATAAGTGCACAAAATTAAAAACAGAAAAAAGTTTGGACAGGACTATGACAGTTCGGGCAAGACCCAAAGGGAAAGAATTTTTGTCTGAGCTTGGACATAATTTATGTCCTTTATTGGAAAGGACCATTCTTGTTTTTTACCCTGCAAAAACACACACCTCAACTACTTTTGAGCTGTCGAGATGGTTGTTTTTTATTTAAAAAGATTTTTAAAAAATAAAAAATATTATTTTAATATATTTTTAAATAAAAAATATTTTAAATAACAACTTTCAAACACACCACGGCATAGCCCACTGCTCACACTAGCGCATCTCCATCCACGCAGATTGTTTGCGAAGAGTGCAGAAGCATAAACATCTTGATCACTATAAATTAATGAAAAAAAGTCATTTTCGTTATTAATAATATTTATTTCCCCCATAAATCACGAGAAGATACCTATAACTCTACAACTCTACGCACCGCCAAATATTTACAACACAACCCTTCAATCTTCATGTAATAAACCACATGATCAAAATATATAAATTCTTTATCATCAGGAATAGGAATATGTTATTTTTTATTCTTATATTTATTAATTTAAACATTCTTCTTGTTAGACATGAGATTTTATTTTGCAAAAACAATCAAGTTCAAAAATAAAATATATATATATGCTTCAACTTCAAACTTCAATCTTGTTATTTATTGTGTTTTGAATGATAGTGAGGTAAAATTTAAATTTTTTTATTTAAAATTAATTTTTTATATTGTTTTAATATATTAATATAAAAAATAATTTTTAAACAATAAAAAATATATATTATTTTGATGTTTTTTCAAATAAAAAACACTTTAAAAATAATCACTAACACATTCTCAAATTCTTTCTAAATTACAGCTATAAAAAACTCAATCCAATTTTAAAGTTTTCTTATATTTATTGGCTATTTATATTTATATGTATATTAAATATTTTTAATCTCAAAAGATTGATATGATGGTGACATCGGTATGTTTTTTTTTTTTCATTTATTGACTTAATCATGGATTTAAACCTCAAAACTAGCACACCATGAAAAATATAATAACTAATTAAAAAATACCCTTTTGTTTTCTAATACAAAATATTAAAAGTGTCTAAATCTCAACAATTGTTCCAAACTTTCAACAGCCCAACATTTCTTTGAAATAACTAAAGTCGAACAATGTTGCTGTAGCACTCAAGACTAGCATCTACCCAAAAATAAAAAAATAAAAAAAATGAAATGAAACTAAAATGAGCACCGATTTCATGTGATACTCTCACTTTCCCTGAGTTTTCGATGTATTTTCTCAAAGTGGGGATACCCTTATCCCCCTTTTTATATCATAAATCAGCTTTAATTGTGGATATATATATATATATATATATATATATATATATATA